TATGTGTTTGTATCAGTTTAAAAAAATCTTTTCCTAAGGAATTATGTAAAATGTTTTGCTTAATTGTTTCTGGTAAACTGATAAAAAGGTACTTTTGTCAATATATGACAAACCTATTCCATTTTTCAACTGAAAGACATAGTTTGATATTACTGTTCAAAATTTTACTAGGGTTAGAGAGGGCTGGCGTGTAAGTATAAAATTTATTAATCATAGGCTACTCACGCACTCACACACACAAACTTATGTTATCAGAATCAGATTAAATATAATCATTTTATTTTTATGCCTCAATTATATGCATTCCTCCAGTTAATATAGACTATGATGTTTGTGTAAATATCATTATAATGAGGTTAACATTTGAGATAGAGGATTTCTGAGTTTTTATTTTAGAATATCTCTCACCACACAAGATAGCCAAGTGACAATTACATTAGTTTCCCTCTCCTCTGTTACTTTCAGAGAGCTGGAAAATATGTTAAAATATCGTTTTGCAGCATTTGCCATTTCTGGTTTTTTTTAATCAAATATTTCCAAAAAATGTGGGGCCAGCTTGTTTGTTTTGTTTCTTAACGTTACTATAAACAGCCATTTCCCCTTCTAGTTAATTATTAGCTTAATCCTTTTGATAAAGTAATGAAAGGGAATGTCCCCATACTCTTTTTTTTAATCCTCCACAATCCCATTAAAAAGATGATTATACATTACAGGGGAAGTCAGGTAAATTAAACACAAATGGCTGAAAATTAAAATTGAATGGTTAAATGCTTGAAAACAGGAAATTGAGAGGATAAGACAAAGTATGTGTGGGTGGGTGTGTACATGCTTGTGTGTATATGTGTGTGTATTATGAGTTGTGTGCCTTTAGTAGGTTTTATAAATGCCCACAATATAAACATCAGTTAGACTTGTGGTAAGACAAAAAAAGCTCATCTCTTGTGAATACTTTTATGATCCTAAATAAATTTATGAGGCTATTCAATTCTCTCTCCCTTTCCTCCCCCCAGTGTGTGTGTGTGTATATATACAGGGTGTACTTAAAGGCCAATCTTAAGTTTATGGTACCAATTTGATTCTCCTGTAAAAGATCATGCTGTTTGCTGAATTCCAACACCCCCATTCACAAAGGAGAAATAAAATTTCCTCACTTGCTTGCCATTTTATATCTTATTGAAAATTTTCTGATTGTTTAAGCTTGCTTCAACTCCCCCCCCCCTCCTTTTGCCACCAAATAATTCCCTGGCCTAGCATCTGCCTAAAGAAATATTTGGGTGTAGGTTTTAATCCCTTCATTTATCTCCCCCACCACCATCACCACTTTTCCTGATGCTCTCTAAAGTTGGATTTTGCTAAAGCAAAGACAGGAAAGAATGGAGAGGAAACAGGAGAGGGGTCAGAAACAAGGGGCACCTTTTCAGCAAAATACCAGCTACAACTTCTATAAATAAATACTGTTAATCTTTATTAATTCTTCTCATACTTATGCCTTAAACTGGTCAAGATAAATTTTCTGAGTTTAAAGAAAGCCTGTCAGTATCTTATAACAATAACAGGTCATAGAGAAGAGTCTCTTTGCTTTACAGCTGTCCCATATATTATTTTCAACTAACAAAAATATTAGTTGAAAAATATTGCCCACTATAAAAGTTTGCCAAGGGACCTAAGAATAAGGTCCCCTATATTTTCATAGTAATCAGAGGAGGAAAAAAGGATGAAAATTATTAGTATTAGAAGAAAAAGATGTTGATGGGCTAGGCATTAAAATAAATATTCTCAACTACCTATGGTATTAGATAATATGTGAGATGGGGGCTATAGAAATCAAATAAATAAATGATGAATGAATAAATGAATAAATAGCAATAATCTGAGGGATTATTCTGGCCCCAAATATTGATTACTAAAAACTAATGTCTCCTTACTACTACAACATACACCCAACTTACAACATAGAATAGTGTACAGCAGGTTTTCAAGTCATTTTCAGGTATCAATTTATACTTTTTAAAAGCTGTAAAATCAAAATACATTGAAAGCATTGACAGGATTTGGCAATGTGGGAAGTTTTTTTCCTCATATTTGGACAATAAATAACTACTAGTGCAGGACAAATCAATCAGTGGATTAACTTTTGAGTTTACCTATTTTCAGATTTAAAGTTTCAAATATTTTGCAACATTTAAAATATTCCATCTGAGTTGCCAGATTTGAGCAGTGGAACTTTTCTCCAACACACAAACAGGTTTGAAAAAGGCTAGGCTTTTTCCATTTTAAAGAGTATACATTAAATATTTTTAAATGTATTTATTATATATTTCAAATTTAACTATTTTCTATTCCCTAAGCAATCCTTTCCCAGACCAATGCCTTTCCCCCCACATCCACCCATCCACAATGCGCATTTCCAGTACCAGTTCTTAAGATTAAAAGTTCAAAGGTAGCACATTTACTCACTTAAATAGCCAAATAATCCATTCAGAGATTCTTGCTAATCTGTTATTAAGCAGGGATCTGAAGTGTTATGCTGATTTGAAATTAGTTTTTTGAGAGTGGGGTGGGGTTGCTCAGATCCGTTTTCTTACTCTTCTTCCGCCCAATTTTCTCTGTTTCTACATATCAGTAAAACAGATTAACTTAAAGTTAGGGTGTACTCTGAACATAAAGGAAAGGGGGGAAAGAATCAGCAGGAACACAAATCAAAGACCAGGGTAGTTTGTACGTTTTGTGTGTTTGTGTGTGTGTGTGTGTGTAAGAGAGAAAAGAAAAGAGGGAGAGTGCCTTGAACAAACAAACAAAAATTACTCCCCTTGCTTGCGATTTCCTTTCATTCTAAGAGTTATATTATAGTGGTGTTGGGACCCTGTGGGTTTCTATGCCTTTAAAAAAAACAGGCTAACAAATTAGATAGCAAGCCAACATGTTTTGTGGTTCCTTAATCCTTAACAGAAAGAAATCGCATTGGTCATTGCAGGGGTAACATTGCCATGTAAATCCGGTCTGGGAGCAATTGAAGGTGTGTGGTGGAGAATTCTTATGAACAGATTGCACATCTGTAATCGAGGGATGATAGACAGATAGGTTGGGTTACAGTTTCATTTGTCCAAAAAGTGCAGGGAAATCCCGTGATAGGCAAAGAGAATTAGGAAAGAGGTATGTATTTTTATAGACTGGCGATGAAGATGTGAGGTCTGTAAACAGTGCTTCAAAGTTTTTGAGAATCGAAAACAGCACGGCTGTAATGGCTGTTTCTTGAGAAAAGATGGAAGATGAACCGGATGAAAGGATCGATAAATTGGCCAGTAAAACGGAGCAAAGAAACAGAGGCAGAGAGAGAACAAGTATGACAATGGTGGCAAAATGATAGGCAGGGCAAGTAGCATTTTACAATTTGGAACTATTTCACTGTTGTAGAAAAAACTGGAGCATCTTTATAAGATTGCTTGAATTCACAATTGCATACGAAAGAAGTGGAATTGGGGAGGGGGGGAAAGAAATGGGCACATCTTTTTTAAAAACTGTCATAACCGAGCCAAAGACAGGATAATTTTATCGCTGGAGATCGAGGCTCGCCCGCCAAGTGTGAGAACTTGAGAACTGGCGAGGCGAAAGTCAAAAGCTAAAAACTCCAGCCTTTAGGTCAACTTATTCATCCCCTTCATAGTTATCTTTTTAAAAAAAAAGTTTTAAAGCAAATCAACGAATTAGACTCGGGTTTAATTTTATTCCCGAATTTACTGCAAACGCAAACGCACAAAATAGAAAACCGGGATTTCCCCTCTGCCCCCAAAGCTCCTATCAACCATCCTGACATCTCTCACCCCGGGACTATCCCTTGCTTTAAATTTAATAATTTCTGATGTTAGGTGATCAATAAGGGGGGGGGGGGTTTGGCAGTCAGACCAGCCGCTGCTTTTAACTCTAACCTGTCCAAAGACCCGGCCTGAACCGTAAAAACGCAAGAGGGCACCGTTCTTTGCGCAGAATGTCGTGGCAGCTCGAAGACCGGCAAATGCCTCTCTCGGACTTTGGACACGGAGCCGCAAACTTATACTGGAGGGATTTAATTAGACCGGAGAGATAAAATAGGCGCGAGGAGAGGGTAGAAACACATACCCGTGGGGGAGTAGGAGAGTTGGAGAAGGGAGAATAAATTGTAACCCCCATCCTCCAGATGCCCAGTCGCACCTCCCGAGGAGTTTAAAATTCTTGATAGAAAGCTCTGTCCTGTGCTCAGAGGACGCAGCAAAAGACGCTCGCTGGAATTTTTTTCCCTTCTCCAGATCCAGCGCTTGAGCGCTTGAACTGGCTGTACAGTAAAGGCTCCCATTGCCCCCACTTGAACCCAAAGGTGGGTGGGGAGGAGGGAGATAATGCGCTTTCCCATCCTCCTCCTCCTCCTCCAGACACTTATATGAAAAAAACCACAAACTTTTCAAGTTGAAAATATTTCTCATGTTTTCCTCCTCCCTCTCCTTGATAGCAGCAAGGATAAGACCGGCGTCATTCTTCATATCTTTCACCTTTCTCGTGTTTGTTTATTACTACCCAAAAATTTACCCCCAAATAGCTCTTGGATTTATCTTTTCCGAGATACTGAGTACGTGATAAAAGGGGGGGGGAGAAACAGGGGTAAAGAGTAGTGTCTTGTGCGTGGGGGGGGCGTTTCTGTTGTTTAAAGGTGATAGTATTGGTGGCAGGGATGCTTTCACTGGTTTGTTCTGGGGGGTCCCCTGTGCAGAGCTAACCCCTCTAGGGTGCTATTTCGCAGCCTCCGACTCCTGCTATTGGTCAGCGCGTGATCAGATGGTTCTCTTCCCTTATGTCCCTGGTTGGCACGCGGCCATCCCCCTTCAGCTAAAACCCAATCTCCCATATACTGCTAATAGCTAAACCGCTTGGACTATAAAACGCAACAAATCATAAAGAGCAAGGGAAAGAACAGACGCTGTTCTTCTGGTTAACTATTATTATTGTTATTGTTGTTATTATTATTTCCAATGAGTTCTTATTTTGTCAACTCTACTTTTCCGGTGAGCTTAGCCGGAGGTCAAGAACCATTTCTGGGACAGCTCCCTTTATATTCCACGGGCTACGCGGATCCTTTAAGACACTATCCCAGCACGTATGGAACTGGGGGCGGTGGGGTCCAGGAGAAAGGTTACGCGGGCGCGCCTTACTACCAGCAAACCAACGGAGCTTACAACCGGAGTCCAGCCTGCGATTACGGGACATCTGGTTTTTACAGGGAGAAAGAGACCGGCTGTTCTCTTTCGAGCCTAGAGGAGCCTGTTCAGTTCGGCCAGGAACAAGCCCGGAAGTCAGAATGCTCACAGAGCAAGCACGTTTTCGGGGACAACGAGGATCAAAAGTGCTCCACGCCAGTGTACCCTTGGATGCAGAGAATGAATTCCTGCAATAGTAAGTTGCTTTTCCCCCCCCCCTCATTCTTCCCAATCATGTTAGGTGACAGATGGCTACCCAGATAAAAGCAGGAAATGTTTTTTCTTCTAATCTGAAGTTGCAGGCAGTAGAGCCAGAAATTTCCTTCAAACTTTTTTGCACTGCTTACGCTGTGCTTCAAAGGCGCTGCCTAGCTTGTTTGTTTGTTTGTATGTTTGTCACATTATCTGCAGGAACTTCTCTAGAGTTGGTTCCTCTCTTTAGCCAACTTTCTGCAACTGAAAGTGCAGAGATTTATTGACTGAGCGGCTCTTGTCTTGTAGAAGGCAATGTTAGCTGTCACTCACTAGGGGTGATTTAGAAAGGCATCTTGGCACTCACACTCATCCGCGCGTGCACACACACTCACACGATGCAAATCGCTACCAAACTGACCCCCACTCCCCAATTGTTTTCAATAGATCTGGATTTCAACTTCTTTTCCACGTCTCTCTCCCCCCCCCTCCCAGTGATACAGACAGGATACCAATTCAGCCAAAGGCATATTCAGCACACTCAGCTTGTTGTATAATGTCAGGAGGGCTTAAATATTTGAAAAGAGAAAGCTACATTTTTAATGAAACTCAAACCGTAATTGAATGCCTGCCTGAAGAGGAAGTTGTAGATAGTTTTTCTTTCACTCACTCTCCCCACCTTTCTGATCAAAGACTGCCTCCAGATGCCATAATTTCCATAAAAATTCATTTAAAGAAGATAAAGATGTAGCCACAGCTCCTCCTTCCATCCCTACATTCCAAAGGGAGGGGAAATTAAGGGAAATCAATGGAGAGAGATAGGTAAAAGGTGGATAGATTAGGTAGGTAGATAGGTGTTTAGCTTAAGTTGTGGAATCTAAAGCAATTAGATCTGAATGGCAGAGGGGAAGAGAATATAGAAATAAAAGAGAGGAAAGACTAAGCACCACATAAGGGAAATAAACTTGGTCAGAGGTGAGTGTCCAGAAGAAAATGAAGAGAGCATAGGGTAAAAAGAATTCTTAACTTTGGACATTAATTCTTTCCTAATGGAAGTGCGGGAAGGAAGTACATAGATAACTCTCCCAAAACAAATCTTGTCAGACTGCTATTGCACTCATTCATTATATATATATATTAACCTCTATACGCCATTGCTCCTAGACCCTCAACTGTGTGAAGGAGTGTTGTTACTTATCTTTGTTTAAATATCGACCCCCCCATATTAAGTCACTTCCCCTTCTGCTGCTTTTGAAAGCCCCACAGCATGTTCAAAGCCTATTTCTCGGAGAATTGCAGCAGTTGAGGAATGGGATTTATTCCCAAGCAAGTGTCCCAGTGCAGCAATTTTCGTCCTTGTGAATACTGCTCAGGAGGGCACTCGAGTTTGCAGGGAGAGAAAGGTAGAGAGAACCTTTTGGTGAAGAAGCAGTTTCCTTAACTCTCCCAGAAACAGTAAGCTTCTGAGTTACATCACATTGCTTTCCAAAGTTTTGCCCTCCCCTTCTTGTTGAAAAAGACAAACATGCAAACAAACAAAACAGATTGTATGGTGGGAGTTGCAAGTTTTCAAGCTGAGCTTTCTGGCTGCTCAGCCAACGGCAGGCAAAGAATTTCTGGGAGGTGTATCTTCCAAGTTTTCAATTCCAACCTGAAACAGAATTGTTCTGGAAAAGGAAATGTCCCCAAGCACGAAGGGAAAAGCCAATTAGATAGGAGTGGATTTGGTTATCACTGGTATTAGGTACTACAGTGGGTTTTGATAGCTGAGAGTTGAAAACAAGAGAGCGGGGCCACTTGGAGTAGGAACATTACTGCAGGGAATGGGGTCTCTTTCCCTCCCCTCCCCCCCTGCACACGCACAAACTCACAAGATACTCTGGTGCATAGCATAGCCATTGGCATGTATATGTGTAACTCCAGTAAATGTTCAGTAGCACACGCTTGCCTTCTTCTCCATCCCCACCAGGTACCTCCTTTGGGCCGAGTGGCAGACGAGGCCGGCAGACTTATACGCGCTACCAGACTCTGGAGCTGGAGAAAGAATTCCATTTTAACCGTTACCTGACCAGGCGCCGACGCATCGAGATCGCTCACGCCCTGTGTCTGACGGAGCGCCAGATAAAAATCTGGTTTCAGAACCGAAGGATGAAATGGAAAAAGGAGAACAAGCTCCTAAACTCCACTCAGCTGAGCGCCGAAGAAGAGGAGGAGAAACCAACGGAATGAAAAAGCAGAACCCAGAACCGGGGAGAGAAAGAGAGAATGAGAGCCCGAATAAATGCAGAGTGAATGAATGAATGAATGAATGATGAATGAGAAAGCAGAATGTCAACAATTGGGGAGCTCCAGAAATGGCAACTCCTCCCACCCAAAAGGCACAACTGAGACAAGCATTTTTGTAAAATATCTGAGACTGTTATGGTGGTGTTGTCCTTTTACACCCTCACTTGCATTGAATTATTGAATTTGTCATATCATAACCATGTTTCTAGTCCAATTTATTTTCCCACCCTCTTTATTGCCCCTTCTCTTTGCCACAGTTGGGATTGTGGTTGTGTTTTGTTTTGTTTGATTTACCTTTGGGTGTCCTCCTTAGGATTCTTGTTAACCCTTGTATTTAAGTGGAGGTGCTGCAATATATGTGTCAGGTTTGGGGCTATTTGATTGTCTTTATTTTGTAAAACAGAAGTGTCATGCACGATTTACTTATTGTTTGCTTTTTTATATAAAATTAAGTTAATCAAGCCCTGGGTTCTCTGTCATTTAAGGGTTATTGTTTTAAGCAAAATTATATTAAAAAGGAACAATTGCAACCTAAAAAGTATGGTGGATTTTTTTAAAGAGTTTTTTTAATCGGTTTTATTTTATTACAATTTGTATAGTGTTGTATTTGTAGTTTGTGTTAGCTATGGAGATTTTAAAAGACCTATACAAACAATAAAAAGATAAAAACAAGTACACTGAGAAAAACACTTGTTATGTTCATAATTTAGAATGTGTTTTCTTTCTTTCCACATCGTTTCTAATGAATACATCTATATCTATACGAGGTGTATGGTTGGTAGTAAAAAAAATTAAAAACCTGCTTTAAAAAAACAGATTTCCTTAATCTGAACAGGCAAGCAATTCCTTAAACACTACAGAAGTTAGAGGATGAAAGATATATTCAGTCCCCCCCTTACAGACACACACACACACACACACACACACACACACAGAGAGACGCACACGACTTTCACTTGCTTAGCCTAAACTTAAATAAAAGACCTTTTCACCAAGAATATATTGGAGCTGACATTTAACTTTAATATGGATTTTTTTATTATTACTGCACAAAAGAGTTATGTGGGGTGCACACCACACATATAATAAATCAAAGAAACAGGCATAATTCGCTGTCCCATTCTACATCTGCTAAAACATACATAACATTTTCATAGCCTTTCTCAAACATTGGCTCAAGTTCCTTTTAGGTAAATCTTTCCAATCCCCCCTCCTCAAGCCCTCTAACTAGCCTTAATATCTTACTACAAATTAAGCTAAAATATGAGACTGGGGGCTATTAATGTCCTATGATCAAAAGAAAAATGTGTTAAATAAACCGATTTAAAAGGAAATATTCAGGTAGCATTTTAAAAAAGAAGAGAACCTTAAATCTATTTTTCCTCATTTAATTCTGTCTTTCCTTTCCTTTCCTTTCCTTTCCTTTCCTTTCCTTTCCTTTCCTTTCCTTTCCTTTCCTTTCCTTTCCTTTCCTTTCCTTTCCTTTCCTTTCCAAGCATTGATTACTTAAGGAAGGTTAACAATTCTTTGCTGTTGTCCTTAGCAAATTGTTAACAGCTATCCTTGGTTTGTTTGTTTTTACTATTTTATATTTTCTGAATCCTTTTTTTGAAAAGAAGAAAAAGTGGTGAAACAATAATTTCCTTTCTAATACACTCTCATTTCACATGCTCAAGTATAAAGACATTAATTCCTTCCCACCTTCCAAATACAATGAAATCCAGTATTCTGAAGTCTTGCAGCTGCATAATACTTATTCTTATTGCTACACTTTTTAGTAGCTGTGATTATTATGACTAAGTGCCAGTTTCAATATGGCTCATAATTTTCAATGAGTTGCAAGCTAGTTTTTGTAAATTCTTGTAGGTTGGCAGAAGAAGAATGGAAAAGAAAATAGTGACATGGCTGGACAAAAACAAAGAATTCCAGATCCAAATCTGGCCCATCATTATAAAATTGATCATTACCAAACATTTTAATAATTTAAATAAACGTTGAAAACCCTCTTCATTTGAAACAGTTCTCTCAAGAGATTGCCAGTTGTATAATTCATCATATTGCTGATTATTTGGAAAAAAAAATCCCACACATAATGTCAAGATAAGTTGATTTTCCCCTTCTATTATTTGCACTGTATTAAAGTGTAGGAATAGTATGATAATGATAATAATGCAAAAACATTCAAGCAACTTTTGATGTTGATGGTGACTCCTAAGGAGATGCAAATTAAAAAAAGGGATGCAGGAGAGGGAGAAAGAGGAACTATCATCTTGATTTTCATCCGAATAATTTTTGCCCTGAATAACCGTTTCTAATATCAAAGCAAAAACATCACCGGGATTATTATTTGGTATTAAACAACTGTTATTCATAATAGTAATAGCAACAATTTTATACTGCATCTACTATAACAAGAAAATTTCTTTTCCGCATTAGAAAAGCATGTTCTCCTATGGAAGAAAAAGAGAAAGTAGAGAAACAAAGACAGAAACGACACTTTTGGGGGAAAAACATTTTATTTCTAGAAAAGGCAGAGGACACAAAAACTGAGCGCTTGACTACTTAAAAAAAAAGGTGAGTGAGGTAACCTCCCTGTCGGCTACTTTTTTATTTACCCAGTAGGTGGCGCACAATGCCAACAAGGAGCCATCTGTGCTCGCTGATTCCTCCCCCTTCTTTCCTCCCTCTTTGGAAGCCGCGCATTGACATGGGCCTAACGATTCTCGGATCGTCATTATTTGTAACCATAGAGCATGAATTGCCTCTTGAGGTCATCAGTGAGAATTTACGACTGGTCAACAAAAGCACGTGATTCCCAAACGCACCCCCCACCCCACCCCCATATTTGGCCGCATACATAGCAAAAACGAAGTACAGTGCATCGCTATAATTCATTAATACATCATAAATCCTCAAGCACAGGGGTTATAACGACCACGAGCCCCACAAATCAAGCCCTCCAAAATACAAACCCAAATGAGTTCTTACTTTGTAAACTCGTTCTCAGGACGCTATCCTAATGCCCCAGACTATCAGCTGTTAAATTATGGGGCCGGCAGTTCCATGAACGGATCTTATAGAGATCCAGGCAACATGCACGCCGGCTCTTACGGGGGATACAACTACAATGGAATGGATCTGAGCATCAGCCGATCATCCTCCTCCTCCAGCCACTTTGGAGCGGTTGGGGAGAGCTCTCGCGCCTTCCCTGCCCAAGCAGCGCCCGAAAGCAGGTTCAGACAGGCGTCCAGCTGCTCCTTGTCTTCTCCCGAATCCCTCCCTTGCACCAGCAGCACCAGCAGCACCAGCACCAGCAGTGGCGGCGGCGGCGGCGGTGGTGGCGGCGGCGGTGGCGGCGGCAGCAGCGGCGGCGGCGGTGGCGAAAGCCATGGAGGCAAGGCAGCCGGGTCCTCCCCTGCCGACCAGGCAGCCTCTGTTGGCGCGGCTAGCGCCACTGCGTTTGCCGAGATAGACGAGACCAGCGCGTCTTCGGGGCCCGAAGAGAGCGGCTCCCAAGTCAACAGCAACGGCGCCCGAGCTCAGGCAGAGCCGATCGCCACCTCCACGCCGGCCACGGAAGGACAAAGCCCGCAGATATTCCCCTGGATGCGAAAGCTTCACATTAGCCACGGTACGGACTTGCTCCTTTTTAATTTGGCTGGGGTGATCTATGGGATGCGTGCCTGCGCCTTCTGTCTGCCTCTCTCTGGGTCTGTGGTCTGTGTGTGTGTGTGTGTACATACATACACACCCATACACATAAAGCATAGGATTTTGGCAGGACATATTTGCTTTGGCGACGGAAGAAGGAATTCAATCGCTTTGTGAAACCACTTTCCTGTCTCTCTCCAGATGCCCTTTTCTATTTGCTTTCAGTGTCTCTTTCTTTCATTATAATGTTCGATTCTTAAAGAGTATTTTCTTATCTTTCAAAAAAAAAAAAAATCAAGGTTCCCTCCGTTTTTAAAAAATGTTATCAACATGGCAAAAGTCAAACTGTATTGATGGTAACAATAATAATAAGACTAGCGCTTATAATAGCCTAGTACTAGGAGAACGGAAGGGTGGGAGATGTTGGAAAGTAGCAAGAATTGAAAAGGGAGAAGGAAAGAAATGGGAAAGATAACGGGAAGGGTTAAAAAGGAAGGCTGTTTGGGGCACAGATGGGTCTGTCAACCTCTCTCCCTCCCCCTCCCCCTCCGCCCCACATTTCCCCGTCTGCAAGGGCGAAATGCGGCGGTGGCAAACTCTTTGCCTCTCCCTTCAACCCATGGGGTAAAAACGAAAGAAGGGTGTGCGCCTCAAAGTTGGAAGCAGGAACTGCCTGGCGACCCGCTTCGTACGCCGAGGCTAACTCCCTTTGGGTGGAAAGCGAGCCCTAAGGATTTCAGCGGAAGTTGCTTCCAATGAAATGTGGCCGAGACTGGGGTAGGGTGGGGGGGGGGGTGTTAAGGAAAGGCGCAACGCCTAGGAAGATCGCCTCTCAGTCTTTCAGTCGGCCTGTTTAGATCGCCAGTCGAACTGGACTGACCCGAGGGAAGAGAGACGAGGGGCCGGGTTTCGGAGATTGTCTTCCGAGAGAAAACTCCGTGAACTGTGAGCCAGGCCCCAACAGCAGCAGTTTCCTTCGAAGAAACCTGCGTAGAATCAGATTGTGTTAGAAAAACATGTTCTCGGCTCCTGGAAAAAGATATAGGGCTGTAGAGAGTGTGAGAAGGAGAGTGGGGTATGGGTCTAAATTAATTAGAAATAAGGCTGAAGCCAGATTAAAACGAAGGATATTGACATGGAGGAAACGGAGACGCAGAGAAGCCGTGTGCTCAATTTGCTGGGGCGTTTGTCTGCAGTGTAAGGCGACGGAGGAGGAAACAGTTGAACGCGCGGTTTCTTTCTGTGCCTGTGATCTAAAAAGAGAAAGCAGACCAACAAAAGGCATTTTTTCCTATGTCCTGTTGTTGTTATTATTCAGATATGACCGGACCGGATGGCAAACGAGCCCGAACGGCGTATACTCGCTACCAGACCTTGGAGCTGGAGAAGGAGTTTCACTTTAACCGCTACCTCACCCGCAGAAGGCGAATAGAAATAGCCCACGCTTTGTGTCTCTCCGAAAGACAGATAAAAATCTGGTTCCAAAACAGGCGAATGAAGTGGAAGAAAGATAACAAACTCAAAAGTATGAGCTTAGCATCTGGTGGCAGTGCTTTTCAGCCATAAATTATATCAAGGAGGAATATTAAGAAATAGGAAAGAGGGGGCAGGAAGTAAGAAAGTTTAAAATAAGCAAGCAAACAAAAAGCAACAGCCAGATTTGTTTTTGTTAAGTTTGGAGTACTGTAAAGTGAAGCACTTTCCATTCAGCATGCTGTTGATTTTTTTAAATTATGATTATTATTATTATTATTATTATTATTAATAATATTAATAATAATAAGCAATTTCATGGGTACTATTATTCCAGGATTGTGTCTTTTGCTGCAATCACCCCTTTAAATTAAAAGATAAAATCCAGAGGCTTCTTTGATGCTTTAGATGTTCTAAATGTTTGTGTCCGTGCTATAATGATGCTTTCTGGAAGAAGTTAGCATGTCCCTTTCTTTTCTCTTTTCTTTTCTTTCTTTTAATGTGCTTTTTAAATGTTATAACTTATTTATAAGCCAGTATGGGGAAGGAACGATGGGTTCGTAAAAGTTCACAACTTTGTGTGGAACCCTACCTCTTTTCCTTCCACTCAAGTTGGGGGCTCCTGCAATTCAGTAGCAGGAAAAAAGAAAAAGAAAAGAAAGAAAATTAAAAACCATCAACCACAAAAAAACTTTTTTTTTAAAAAAAAAACAACCACCAGTATATCTCTCTATATAAACTCCATGTATCTGTCTTTGAAATTGTCAAGTCTGTGATTTGATCCTGGCCTTGTTTTTATCCCAGGCCAGTTCTGAAACTTTCTTTCTTTTTTAAATAAATGTGAGTGAAGTTCACTTTAAAAGGGTATATGATTGGACCAACCATAGTATGTTTAAAATGTTTGTAAATACTAGAAATATTTCTACAGTGACTAATAGGAAGTTTTAGTGGGCAGGGTGAATTCAGTGTTCTGTGTGTCTGAAATGGCATTTGTCACGTCTAGCCGCCTGTTCCCATCCTTGCCAAGACGCTGTTTCGTATTGGTTTGTAGCCTTAACTTGAAGTCAAATAAACGTTTCTCCTGGCCAGAAAAATAGTGCCCTTCTTTGCATTTTTTTATTCCACCATTTTCACAAGTCACAACACTAAAGTTACTCATCAGCAAAATCTACATTTTAAGAAGAGGCCCAGAGAGAAAGTGTATACTCTTCACCCACCGCTTGATCCAGCTTCCAGGTTCTCCTTAGGGGTCTTTGTCCCACTCCCCTAAAATCTCTAATGAGCCAAGGATATAAAATCATCCCCTGTAAGCGGTATTAGATGCTGAACTAGCACAACTCAGAAAAAAAGAAGAGGAACCAGTGGGTTGGTTCGGTTCTCAAAAATTCCTTTTCTTCCTTAGACTGAGAGACTTTGACCATTTTCTTGACCAAGAAATTTCTATCTCATTTTAAGGCCTTTACTTCCAAGTAAATGTGCTTCAGATTACAGATTCAAAGACCACAAACCAAGCATTTAGGGAGCCACTGAAGTTATCACAGAATGGCAACATGCCATTCAAATTTTAGAGCTCAGTACATATGGTATTATCTGTTCTGTTTGCTTCTATACAATTCTGCAAATATTATACATATACACACAATTCATTCAGCATGGAAAATCACAGTTGTCTCAACAGGGCTAATATAAACAATGTGCAGGAGGCAATTTTTCTTTTTTTTCCTTTAAAAATTAATCTGGTAATCTAACTTTTTTTTCCTCCTCCCCTTAAATCACAGTGCTATGATTAAGGTCTGTTTGTTGCAATAGGGAAATAAGTAGTCTTTGATATTCTTAAATTATAGCTTAGAGCAGTTTTCTCTCTCTCTCTCCTTCCCTCCCCCCTCTCTCTGACACTCTTGTAGGAAGTAAAATTGGTCTTACAAACTTACCCCAAACTCTTTGGTTACTTCTTAAAATGGTTTTGAGAGGGCTGGGGTGTGAGTTGTCATTTCCAAAACAACCCATTTTCTTGCCTTTTCTTGAATATACATAGACACACCACACCTGCCCTGTGCGTGCACACACATACATGCACGCATGTATATATTTTACCCGTAGTAAAGTAAGTAAGTATACCGAAAGTGGCTGTGACATTAAGATGTCAAATGGATAGGGTTTTATCTAGAAGTTAGATCGTAAAAATCGCCCAGACCTCAGCCAGATACCCCTCACTGGCTCTCAAAAGTCACGTGAGGTCCATAAAGTTAGTTTTATGGTTTTGGGGAGTTGACAATGTACAATATATTTCACATTCTCCAGAATGTTAAGTGACATTTTAACTGCCTGCTTTGGCTTGGAAGGGGGCAGGAAAGGGAGAACACTTTTCCAGGCAGATAAAGGCAGCTCCATTGCAGAAATAGGAAGCGTTGATGGTGCACTGTTTACTCCAAAGAGGACTTAGGAACTGCTAACCTTAAAGTAAGTTCTCTTGAAATACTATCTGCTTAAATGAGTTTTAAAGAACCAGGTTGTTATAGATGAGGGTGGAGGGAGCGCGGCCTAGAGGGAGGGGTTTCTCTCTTCCTTGGAAACTTTCTCCTGCATAAAATCTCAGTGAGAACACTGTCACCAAGGCCCCTGAATTACCTGCCTGTGGCCCACAATAATTTTGTTTTTAAAAGCATATGATTTGCAGGAACCAAGAAAAAACAGAGATAATTGTTAATAATGATGGTAGCATAGAGGAATACACCAATAATTTTGTGAGGTATGGGTTTATATGTATATATAAACTTTATATGTATCCACTCTGACATTAGCCTCCTAAAGAAAGCACTTTGAGATAATACTGAATTCTTGATTGTATTGATATCAGAAGCTTAAGCATAACTGCTTAGGACAGACTTCCATCCGAATCTGTGGGATTGATTTTTGTGAGTTACCTTTAGGAGTCAAAGGTGCAAGCGTGAGAATGGTTTTAAACAATGTGTATTATTATTGTTATTAGTAGTAATCTGCAGATTCACAGTCTAGGGCTGGTGAAAACTTAATAATTCAAATTCTAATCAAGGATCTAAGAATTATTAAGGTAGATATAAGCAATTCCAACCAAGGTTGTCCTTACCTTAAAAAGCTCTGGATAAATAATTTGGCACTTTACTTTTAATCCACCCTTTCCCATTTCCTCCAGCTTTTATTCTCCCCCCCTCCCCCTCCCCCCTTCAGCATTTGGTTTCAGGACATTTTTTTTCTTGCTATAACAGTTATGTCATCCCTCCTTTCTCTAGAATTTCTTCTTCCTTCCTTTTTTTTATCCACAGCATAACTGCAAATACTCACTGGTCGCTGCTTTCCTGGCCACAGTCCACAAGAAAAATATCTTGTGAAAGTTTGTGGCCATAGAATACAGAGCTTAGAATTTTCTGGTAGAAAATAAGTATATGTACTTCCCCTTCCCTTTGTTTACTTGGGTTGTGAGGGCATGCAACTCTCACACACATTGTGGGATGCATACAAGTACACTACACATGCATGCCTTGTTTTATATTCAGTTCACTTATGAGCTGAACTTCATTGACAGATATATGATTCATAGGACATATTTTTTATCACTTCTGGAGCCTTTATAAAGACTAGATTTTTGAAATATAAAAAAAGATGACACAGAGATCTGTTTCCCAAAAATATTTTTAAAGACTCCTATTTCTTTCATCTCAAGAAAAGGAAAATTAGATTAAATTCAAGATAACCTAATCTAGATGTTAACAATAAAAGATTTATATTTCCTTGGCTAGGGTGATCTAAGTAGAAGGTCCTGACATTGAATTAATGATTTAACTTTAGAAGAGCTCATTGGTGTAGTTATCTTTTTTGTCAGTGAAAATTAATATAAGCATATTCATTTGTACTGAGGAAGACGGGGAAAATCTGATTGGGATTAAAATTTCTTTTCTTTTTTTTCTTCTTCCTTCCTTCCTTTCTTCCTCCCTCCCTTCCCTCCCTCCCTTCCTGATTCATAAGAGCTTCCATTTGCAGTAAGAGCATGCAACTTTTTTGACTTATAATCTTGATAAAACAAGGCTTTATTGCTTGATAGATGCCATTAGAACATGCTGTATGGTCCTCTGGTAACTAACCAACATACCTTGCTTAGGAGTAAATCTCATTAAGTTTATTCCATGGGTTTATTTCCTAGTAAAATAATATAGGTTCTGGACTGTCACATTGCAAGCATAAATGGTTAGGGATTGTAGACCCAGTTTTCAGTAATTATTTGTTCTCTGCTTAACTTTGACTTCCCAAACCCACCCTCAACTTGTTCCTTTCCATTAAATGCTATTGTGCTCCCATCAACTTCAATTAATATTATAGGAAATCAAAAAGTATAGGAAGCCTTACTTTTCTGTAAGCACCACATTTCACTAATTTGCCACTGTAGCACTTACATCAAACCTTTCCACTCAAAAAGACTGTATTGGTAGAAACTATTTCTGAATTTGAGTCATCTCAGAAATATGCTTACCATTTATTGGGAGGTTTTTCTTCCAATAATGTTGAGAACTGTAGAAAACACCGTTAAAAACAGCAGCAATAAGCATCATCACACAGGGTAGAATCTTGAAAATCAGGGCCTCTAGGTGATTTAAGAATTAAAAGAGGATAAACTTTTGGGTTTAAGGGATCTTGTGCCAGTTCCCTGCTGCTTTTTGGCCGTAAAGGTGAGAGAACTCTTGTCTTAACAATTTGTGGTGTTTACATTTTCTTCCCGTTTCCGCTCAACCCCTTCCCCCTTCAATCATTTAAACTAAGGTTTTATGACCATGCCATTTGGTAGACACATGTTTTGGGGGTTGTGTAAGAGGGGGTAATTTCTATTGCTTGTTTTCTCTGCATTTAGACTATAAAGCATGTTGTCGGTTAATGATATTCTTATTGTTGCTTAAAACAATTCTTGTTACTAATCTTATAAAAAGGAGGCAATAATGTGGCCTCCTTTTTAGGAAGTGTTGGGAAGATAATAATCTCCTTAAAATTTATTTTCAACGTGGTTCTTTTGTTATTGTATAATATACTTTTGATTATGTGTGTTTGTGTCTGAATGCTCATGCAGT